GGAAAGAGGGAGAAAAATAACTGCAATTTGTCGTCGATTGAAAATGAAAACTAGAAATTGTTTTTTCATTTATTCTATAATCTAAATATTTCATCACATAAATGCATTTTATCACCGATTAAAGTCTTAATTCGACTTTGCAATATTATTAAATTTCAGTAATTTCTTCTGTCTACATTGCTTGCTAATCGATCAGCGATGTAACAAAAATTATTTCAAAAGAGAGAACGAGAGAAAGAGAGGGAGGAAAATAACTGCAATTTAGAGAAATAACGCCAATTAGAAATGAAAACTAGAAATGGATTTTTCAATATTCTATGATCTCTATATTTGATCCTAAATGTTTTTTATCAGCGGCCAAAATTCGAATTCGAATTCCTTCCTATCTACAGCTGTATAATCGATAAGATGTGTATCAAAAATTATTCGGCAATACAAAGAATAGACAAAATGATATGAATAATTAGAAAATATTTTAATACATATTCTAATCTCGTTTGATAATCACATATAATGCTTGAGTTACAAATATAACGTTGTGTTATTCTTTAGCAGAGCATCTTCCAATTGCTCATATAAATGACGTTAGAAGAGGAAATTTTCTTCTCACTCCATTTTCCAAAATTGTCCTTTGTACCTTGAACTTCAATACTTTTCAATGTAATCGTCTGATTTAAATATCATTTATAAATTTGAAGAGCAGAATGAAAAACAGATTTCCTCTTCAAATATCTTAAGTAACTGAAAGATGTCTGTTACAAGAATGATGTAACATTATACCATTATATTATACATTGTAGCAGTTGCTATATTATTCAAGCATGTACAACATTATTCCAACAAGGATAAAACTTGTGCATTAAAGATAAACGCTGGCTAATTTCTTATTAATGAAACAAGTAGATAGTATATTTCTCCGGTGTTCACATTGTTTTGTCGCTTATACCCGGGAAAAAACCGTTATATATATGGGCATGTTATATAATTATACATAATTGTATGTAAAATGTTAATTTTGAAAATAATTATATACAATTTTATATATATATAATTTTATAATATTATATAATTATATAATTACATATAATTATATATGAAACATTTTTTTCTCGAGATAGCTGCAATCTCATCGATTAGAAAAAACTTTTCCATCTATTCTATACTACATTTGATTTTATAAATTTCTTTTCGGCAATGAAAATTTTAATTCCCGACCTTGAATCTTCTGAACTAATTACGAATGTCTGCGTTGGTCCAACTATTGAAAAGAGTTGCGTAAGAAATTTAATTAGAATTTGGCTAGAATTCGCGAATAATGGTGTACGCATCTTAAAGAGAGCATCCTGAAAAGAGGTATTTTTTCTTTTCAAATCGGGTTAAAATTTCAATGTGAAAGGCACGTTGCGTCCCGCCTCGCTTCAGTCTCGAGTCCTCCGGTGCCGTTTCCAATGAAACGGAATATCAATTATCCGCGCAATTACAGCAATTAATACTCATCCGGCTAGAGGCCGAGTCGCGCCGTAAAGGCGACGCAAGGATTACTTTGAGAGTAATCGGGAGGGAGAGGGAGGGGAGGTGTAGCTTCATACGTCCGGGAACAAATAAAAGTCCTCATCCGGAATCTCTGCGCCGCGGTCCATTGTACGCAGCCCATCGGCCCTTGGACTGTTTTTATTATAAAGGGCGCGTATTAATTATCTCCGCAATTAAAGCAATTAATAGCGATCGCCCGCAGGATCGGCGTGCACGCGCGCCGCGTCTACACGTTGCGTAAAGACCCGCCCGTTTAAACGGGCTTCCCTCTTGAAAGGGGGTGGGCTTCTCTTTTCGAGGGGAGAAATTTTATTTCTCCGACATATTCCCGGGGTAGCCGCGTTAAACTCGTCCTTTTTTCTATTTGCTTATTAAAGGAAATTGCCTTCGTGAAGTACGATCACCCCCCCCCCCCCCCCGCCCGAAACGCGATTCATTTAATACGAGAGAAATGTATCCTTCGGTATTAATTCCCCCATCTTTGCGAGCATCGTATTAACATTATTTCCGCAGCTGTACGGCGGCGTAGAATATCTCGGTTTACATCAACGCGAACTTTCATCTGACTCGCGGTACATCCAACGTTTCTCTTATCAAATATTCTAAGGCACTCACGACTGTCAGCCGGATCAAGAAATTCCCGTGTGATAATTCGATAATCGCGCGGGGAACAATCGGGGGGAAAGATTGCGCGATGGAATGCGTAAAGTGGGCTAAGGTCGATTCGCGAACTATTTGGCGTTCGTCCAGAAAGAGAGAGAAAGAGGGTGAAAGAGACACGAAGCGCGGACTTATTTTTTTTTACTTTTATTTCATCGTGCCTTTCGTGTCCCGCGATTACACGCGAGGCGCGATCGCGATGCGATAAAAGGGCTGTGGACGTCATTAGCACAGTATAAGCAGGAATAGTAGATTCATTCTGTGTCGGCACCTTTGATCTAAATGTTAAACGACCGCCATGTTGTTGGTTGTGCGCA